GATATATATATATATATATATATATATATACGTGACACACTTCTGTCTTGCATGCTTGAATATATACAGTGACAACTACGAGACACATACTATTGCTAGTTACTCCTATCAGTATACATGTTCAACAGACACTTGTATATTCCGCGACCATGTATTTAAAACGGTTTGCCACATACAGCATCACTAGAGATAAAGCACCGAGTATTCCCTACCAGTTACACCTCACAGGAGACACGTACATGTACACAAACAAAATATACCATTCACAAATACGTGTCATGTCAGAACATAATTATACAAAAACATTATGAAATAAAAACATTATGATACAATAATGCTATAATATTACAAAATAGCAATAAAATACTATAATAGTATAGTACTATAAAAATATAACACTGTAATGCTATAATATTATATCCCACACACTAACAAAGACCCACCACATGCTTCCCAGTATTCTTTCGTCTCGGCTACTTCGGGTGCCATGTAGGCCTCACTGCCCCTTTCCATGTTGTCGGTGATGTGTTTGTTGTCTTCCAATAGCACACCCAATCCAAAATCACAGATCTTCACCAGTCCTAGGGTTTTTTAAGGTTTCAGGGTTTAAGATTAGTTTAGTGTTATAGGGTTTTAAGGTTTAGGGTTAAACTCAATGGGATAGCCTTCGCAGTTATGTGAGCATTCGAGTGACATTGTCTGTGTCGTCTCCGCGGACACTGAAATTCTGATACATGTATACAACCTACTCCTGAAAACCCTAAACCCTAGAAGTTTTAGGGTTTAAACCCTAAACTCTGAAGTGGATTGTAATTCTACAGCATTCTTGGGTTGGAGAGGTTTAGGGATTATTTAGTGTGATAAGATTGTAGGGTTTTAATAGTTTAGTGTTATAACGTATTAGGGTTATAGTGTTAGTTTAGGGTTTTTTATATGGTACTAGGGTTTTAGTGTTCGTTTAGTGCTATAGGGGTTATTTAGTGTGTTAAGATTGTAGGGTTATAGTGTTAGTTTAATGTTATATGGTACTAGGGCTTTAGCGTTCGTCTAGTGTATTAGGGTTTATGATAGTCGTAGCTATCGGGAGATGGGCGTTTAGGGTTTTAGGGGTTCAGCATATTGTATGCCCACCAGTGGTGATGGAAGTTCAACTGCATGTGAAGTTATGTACTTTCTATGTGGTACATCTGTTGATGTGTGTGCGTACACACGCGAGTGCGCATTGGAGTGGGCGAGGGTGCGTGCATGTTTGTATGGTTATAGGTTAAGCAACACACTACAACACACTACAACGCAGTACAGCACACTACTACACACCACAAGAATATTCACCAACCAACCCCCACAACCAAAATATACGCACACGAGGCCCCACACAACAATTGGCCCCATAAAAGGCCACCCCCCCCACCCCAGCCCACCTTCAAAGTTGATCATGAGGTTGTCGCTCTTGATGTCGCAGTGTGCAATGGTCAGTGTGCTGTTGAGCTGTTGGTCGCTGTTGCCCATGGCGTCGCGTGCGCGAGCCTCCTCTCGGCCGAAGTGCTGAGGGCATGAGCGAAGGCAATACACTTGCGGGTTCAGGGTGTAGGTATCTCTATTTGTTTTAGGGTTTAGGGTTTAGGTATCTTTATTTGTTTACACGCTATTGCTATATACAATGCCCGATGTCCGGTGTGGACTTGTGGCTAGCGGGTTTAGGGTTTGGGGTATAGGGTATCAGGGTTTTAGGAAGAGAGCAAGAAGGCAAATGGCCACCTGTGTCTGTATTGGAGTGGATGGTATATTAAACCTCACATGAAAACACCTGCATGTGGCTCAGTATCAAACACAGACACTGCTGTGCTTTAGATACACATACACATTCACACGCAATACAGACACCCATGTACTCTACATAAACATACACATTCACACAAAACAGACACAACAGACACATCACTACATTATACATACCGAGACGTCACTACACTTTACACACATCTGACAAGTGCAGGATAAGCGAGTGTGGCACGTGTGCGGATGTTCTGCTATGGCTATGAATGCACACGACCCCATCAGATGAGAGACGCACACTGCAGCAGACCTTCACACTTAATGAGAAGATTATCCTTCGGGTTTAGGGTTTTTGTGTTTAGGGTTTAGGGTTAGGGGGTTCCTTGTTTAAGCCTACTTTGAGATAGTCTGGGGTTTTTCGGGTTTAGGGTTAGATGCTATTGGTTTGAGCTTACCTTGAGGTAGTCTGGGGTTTTAGGGTTATGGATTAGATGCTATTGGTTTGAGCTTACCTTGAGGTAGTCTGGGGTTTTAGGGTTATGGATTAGATGCTATTGGTTTGAGCTTACCTTGAGATAGTCCTGGGGTTTTAGGGTTTAGGGTTAGATGCTATTGGTTTGAGCTTACCTTGAGATAGTCTAGGCCGTGCAGCACTTGGTACACTGCATTGACCACTGTGGGGGCGGCCAGTCTATTCCTTGTGGCTCCCTTAAGAAAGTCAAAACGTTACTATCAGCGTACGCGTTAGAATCATAAGCAGGTTAGAACGTTACTATCAGCATGCGTTAATATCATGCCTTGTGGCTCCCTTAAGAAAGTTAAAACGTTACTATCAGCGTACATTAATATCATTCCTTGTGGCTCCCGAACGTTAATATCAGCTTACGCGTAGGAATCGAATCCATACCGTTCGCACACCTCTCTGTGGCACAGATGAAGTCGCGCAACAGACACTTTTCGCAATAAATAGTTCAAATGCGTGTGCACTGAGCGTTAACTAACCCATGCTACCAGTGCGACAGAAGAGTTCCAGGGTTTTAGAACTTTAGAGTTCCATGGCTTTAGAGTTTAGTGTTTTAGAGTTAAAGGGTTTTAGGGTTTCAAGGTTTTAGGGTTCTGTTGCGACACATACCTCGGGCGCACGAACCAATCGCAAGCTCTCCAGTGACCATGGACAGTACTCCATGTAGATGGAGAGCTGCAACGGAAACAATACCACAGATGTGAGTCATAAGACAAAGTAACACAGATGTGCGAGAGAAGGTGGAGCAGCACAGATGTGTGAGAGAAGGCGAAGTAACACAGATGTGTGAGAGAAGGCGAAGCAGCACAGATGTGAGTCATACGACAAAGTAACACAGATGTGTGAGAGAAGGTGAAGCAGCACAGATGTGTGAAGAAGGCGAAGCAGCACATATGTGTGGGAGAAGGTGAAGCAGCACAGATGTGAGTTATAAGACAAAGTAACACAGTGGCTGAGATGGAAAACGAAACCATATGCTCAGCATATCTGCAAACCAAAGGTATGGGATATCTGCAAACCAAAGGTATGGGATATCTGCAAACCAAAGGTATGGGATATCTGAAAACCAAAGGTATGGCATAACTGCAAGTTACATGTACAACATATGTGGCACAGGCGGTGACCAATACACTCATCAGACAGCGAATGAAAAGTACCAATGCAAGCAACAGACACATCTCAATAACCTACCCGCACTAGAGAAACGACCTACGGGTAATGCAATTGCTGACAGTTGCAGTATGTAAAACATATGTATGTACACATATATATACATCTGTAGAAGGCGATCGATGTGAAGATCAACCAATAGCAGACTATTCACATGACAACACATACACACGCACATACGCAAAAATGAATATACATATATACGTACATATAT